TTCATGACATTAACATGTTTGGAAAGTCTGAGATAGTTGTCTAGAAGTATGTCTTTCAATCTGGGTTCATCCATTGGTTTCCTAGTGATTAGATTTAGATGAAATATTGCTAGCAAAAATACACTGCTTCTCTTTAGAAGGTACAGGATGGTGGTTAGGCTAAATTTAATCATTGGATTAAGCTGGTGTTCACTGGACCTCTCCATTGTAAAGGTACCCAATCCCCTTAATCACTAATAAGTCGTCTGTGGGGTAATTCTTGGGGACCATGTGCATATCTTGTTCCCCAACAGTCAGTTATTCAGCCAGTGGTTTTCGCATTCATCTTTGATCCTTATGTGAATCAGTTACTGTGTTGGTGGTTGCAATATGGTACTAACTGAACTTTCGAAAGTCACTTTACTGGAGAAAAATTCTCCTTCTCATTCCCATCCCTCTTTGGGAAAAGTCTAGGCCCCAAAGACAGATGGCAGAGGAGTTGATGAAAGGGAAACTTGTAAGCAACTATCCAAAAATATATTAATATTTTAAATGTCTGAAGTGTTTTCTTTGTGAGTGGGTGTATAGTAAAGTTCTAGGAGAGAGAGAGAGAGTGTCTTTTAGTTTCGGGGATTTGCCCTTAAAATAATAAATCCTTAAGATTTATTAAGGATTTATGATGCAGATGAGGAAAAACGAAGTAAAGTGCCATTCTGATTTCCTTCTAGGCTGAGAGAATTCAATAATAATGAGACGAATTTTCATTCAACCCAGCCACAATCTGAAGATATTGTTTGCCCTCCCATTTGAAAACACTCAATGGTTCTTTCCAAAGCATGTTAGATTGAAATCAAATGGGCATCAAAACCATGAAATTCCTATGAAAGGTGGGATGGTAAACAGAAATTGTTTCGTAGGGGGGGTTTCTTGATCTAGGCTTATAATTCTTTTAAGATTTATCCTAAGGCTTTTATACCTGCTTTGCTCATGACTGACTCACTCAGTGACTCAGTGTTATCTGATGAGGATCTTATTTCACTTTTGAAAGCAGAGTGTTGTTCTCTTTTTTGCGGTAGTAAGGGCTAGCAGGAAAAGATTGACTCTGGGCGGTGCAATTGAAACCCCCCCCCCATCCATCTTGAGATTAGAGAGTACCCTGCATGCAATATCAGTTCTCCTGCGAGCAGTTCATGATGAAAAGACCTATTTTTGAAGCATGTAACTATCCCTTCTGCCTAAACAAAACTATTCTTAAATATAGGGGTAATTATCAGCACTCTCTATGAATTCATTTATAATTTGCTTTATTTTTCTTTTCATTGTTTTGTAAGAGGATCTTGGACACTATTTTTGTAACCAGGTAGACCTTGGACTCCTGCATCCTTTTGAGCCATGAATTTTCACATTATGTTCTTTAAGTCTGGAAAAAATGACTTGCCCGTATTTTGCTGGTATAGTAGGATCACACACTTTTTTCTCTCATTGAGATCTTGCTGAGTGAAAAATTGGTGTGGCATGAGATGGCCTATAAAATTTACATTAACCTATATCCCAATTCTGTATTTGGAGACAGCTGAATACTCCTTGCATTTGTTTGATAATTTCTTACCCTGCATGCTGCCTTATATTATGATGTTGTTATAGATTCCAGAATATGAATATTTAAGGCAAAACCTCGCTAATTCAAGCATCTGAACTTTATGGGTCTCAAGGTTGAGCAATTCACTTGAAGGAATTAGACTGGCATGTGCCCGGCAAGCACAGTCATTCTCCTAGAATCTTGAGGTTTCTGCAGAGCTAGAGTCTCTCCATGGCCACGCCCAGTTTGCTGTCAGTCCACTTGGTGTGTAGTGGCCTCCACCAGCTCTTTGGACACGACACAGAGCAGAGAACCTGGTCCTAGGTTGGCATGTAGCTAAGAGCTTCATAGCATATTTGACGCTGTAATAAATGAGGAGGTACTGAAATAGTTCCTATTTTTAAACACTTTGACTCACTTTCTAAGATGTAGCACAACCCCAAGGAATATTTAGCATTCCAATTCTTTATAAAAAATATTTATTACAGGGGCTTCCCTGGTGGCGCGGTGGCTGAGAGTCCACCTGCTGATGTAGGGGACGCGGGTTCGTGCCCTGGTCCGGGAGGGTCCCACATGCCGTGGAGCAGCTGGGCCCATGAGCCATGGCCGCTGAGCCTGCGTGTCCGGAGCCTGTGCTCCGCAACGGGAGAGGCCACAACAGTGAGAGGCCCGCGGACCGCAAAAAAAAAAAAAAAAAAAAAAAAAAATATATATATATATATATATATATATTTATTTATTTATTTATTTATTTATTTATTACAAAGGCTTGTAAAGTGCATTGCTTGAACCGTAGAGGTGGGTTCATACTTGTCAAGCAGGTTTATACAACACTGAAAAATAAACACAAATATGTCAGAAATCTTACAAATGAAGAGGGCTTCTTATTCAGTGTGGGCGATCTTAAAGGGAGTTTTTGGGTGAATTTTTCTTAGAGGTTGACTTAATTACTAGAGAAAGAATTGAGCAAAGCAACAAGACTGGTTACCAGCGCCATGACGGTAGGAGATGTCATCTTTCTTTTAGGCGTATCATGGTGTCTGGTTAAAGCAACAGTAAGGCTCCACGTATATTTGTTGAATTAAATTTTCAAATTAGTTGCTAAATTCCTCTGGTCTTAGGTTTCTCAATCAAGGTCAAGCCACCTCACTTGACTTTTCACAGATTGCCATTTTCTCTTCTTCCTGTCTCCCCCTTAACTCTCCTTTCCTGCTCTTAACCCTGCTGGCCAGTGACTTTTGACTTAAGGAATAGCAACTCTAAGCTGTTGTTTTTCATTTTCAAAGAAAACTGTGTAGGAAAAAAGAGAAATAGGACATATTCAAATCATTAAAAAGATTATATAGAGACAGAGAGATCACTCTGTACCAGACACTGTGTTAAGATCTTGCAGTGAAAAGGAACCGAGACCTGGTGCTTGCCCTCAAGAGGTCGGAGTCTGTAGGTAAAATAGTCATATCAAGAGAGCCGAAAAGTACAAGTCATGGTGTGAGGGTAGGGCCTGGGGGACAGCTTAAGTAAAGTTGACCATGTCAACTGGAAGAATCAGTCTTGGCCTCATAGCAGCCCTAGAGCAGGGTCTTTAAGGATGAGTGCCCCAGGCAATGTGGACTTGAGAAGGCATTGGGGGAATTCTCCAGGGAATGGAGAAGGTAATTCCTATATTTGTGTATTGGCTCTTATGAGAAGCAAGACAGTTGTTCTGTTGGGGAATTTGGAGAGTATAGATTAAAAGAAGAGCTGGGAGAAGAAAAGGGCAGGCACTGTGAATGCTAGTAGATGTGGTGGATATGCCATGGCTTGGGAAGGAGGGGCAAAGGTTGCATCTGGAAGGAGGTGAATGAAAGTCATGGAACGGGTAGGGTAATGGGACTCAAAGTCTTGGTGAAGTCAAAGAGTAGCTGAAGGTGGCGGAGGGCACACACGTGAGCTAGTTGAACGGAAAATATTCTCAGAGAGGTGGATAAAGTGAGGAGTCTGGCTGTGCAGAGATTCAGGGTGTGACCATGAGCATATACTGCTAAGAAGGCCCTGCTCTTTGATTCCTTCCTTCCCATGGTGCTGTCTTTCCGGGGACAATATCCTCCCCAGTGTCTCTCATGTATAACCAGCCAGGATCGCACACCTTAACTCCATGCCAGTTTCTAAAGTCCTCCACCTTAAACTAACCACATTTCTGACTCAAGCAACCTCATATATGAATCAACCTCCCCATGTTGAATTGATTATTGTTTAGTAGTCAGTATGGACCGTGTACAAACTACTGTATTACCAGCCATAACCCTTTATAGTCATATGTTTACATGGCTTTATCTCTTAAATAATAAGCCAGCTGGAGCTCAAAGATTGAATTTGTTTTTGCTTTGTTTTTTGTAAGCTAGAAAATTATCTTGTGCTCCTATGTGCTAAATTTTGTGGGAGGAAGGAAGAGATAAAGAAATTAACATTGTGGAAAGGAAGGAATTTGAAACCAAAGAATCATATGAACTCTGAAGGTCCTGTAGGGTGGTAGCAAAAGCTGAAGGAGGGCTCTTGAGTAAACCTGAGGGTGAATAAGGAGGATGGTGGTGGTACCCGGGAGGTGAGGTGATAACAATAATAGGGGCTAAAAGTGTGATTACAGCCTTCCTCAAAGAAGTTGACGTTTATTGGAAAGTTTAGTGACCATTGTAAAGGAATTTGAGAGGGCACAGTGGGGAATGGACTGGGAGGGAACTTGGTTGAGTCAAGATCTGCTGAAACCCATAACTTTTTGTAAATATTGCTTCTGTGTGGGAAATATTTCAATGAGAACTGACTCTTAACCTCCCACTCTTGGATGTTCCTTGGATCAGGGCTTCTGGGGATATCCTCAGGAGAATGAATCATAGCAATAACGTTAGTAATGATATTATTCAAGTGCTTGCATTATCTCATTAATTCTCACAACAACCTTATGAAGTCTGTATTATTACCTTCCCCATCTTATGAATAAGGAGAGTTAGGCATTCCCCATCCTCGCATTCCTCCTAAGTGGGCTACTTATTCTAGCCAAGGCAAGGTGCACTAGAACCAGTCAGGTCTTCTGGGAACATCAGATCCGCCGCCTTGAACTCCTGACACTGCCAACTGAACTTAGCTTCCTGAGGGACTTGGTATCCTCTGCCACTTGCTTGAGTCCTGCAGGTTCAACCAAAGCCGTCCTGCCATGCTGGGAATTCGATGGGCTGTACTGCTGCCTTCAGAAAGTGGGGATTTGGATGAATGAGAAAATAGGTTAAAATATATAAAGTGAAATAGGGTGAAATACAGAAAGAAGTGGAGAGAGGAGGGAAAAAGAATGCCTTCAAGTTAGGAAGGATGATAATACTGAAACTTCCCAGAGAATATATTTCCGTCTTCGGGCCAACATATAAACGTTCAGCCTGAGCCAGCATCTTGAGCTGGGAGCGGAAGACATGGATAACAAGAATATGTATTTTGTTTATTGGGGAAAAAATAGCTCATGGGGATTGTAGAATAGGGGCTATCAAAATTTAAAAATCTGGCGATATGGGGTGGCCCAATTTGAGGGATTCTTGAGGTTGGATTCTCTTCTGTGAGAGAGTCGTTTCTTTTGTGCTAGCTGATGGGGGCTCTCAGTGGCCTTCTTGGGGTGCTCTCTCCCCCAAAATGAAGGGAGGACTTGGTGCCTTAGCCAGCGGAAGATCCACCCGAAGTTCAGACAGGAGAGGGCTTGTGTGCTGGAGTGAGTGTCCTCCTTCTCTTGCGGACCTGATGAGATTGAGGAGGTCTCTGCAATACTTGTCCTTTGGCTGCCAGTCACCTCGCTTATTATCTGCCAAGAAAATGAGTTTTAGATATTGTGTAACCTAGACAACAGTGGGGTCAATATTTATCCATTTATGGAGCTCAAATCCTTTAACCAAAAGTGACCCAACTGTACATGCACAGTTTCAGTACTCATTAATACTTACACACACCCACGCACACACACATGCACACCTATTTTGGTCATAATTCTTGGCTTTTTCTTTACTTTCCTACCCTCTTCTCTGCCTTGGTGCTCCTCAGTGTTTTCCCTTCAGCTCCACTCTGACCCTTTTACAGCAGGTAGTAATTCTCTGTGCATTCCCACCTGGCCCCTCCACCAGGCCTGGCCCCTGCTTGCCTGTGAGGCACCTCTGTGCTCACTTCAGCAAGCTCCTGTTTCTGAAGCCTTGGAGGAATCTGTGGAAACTGGATGACATCTTCATTTTCTGATGGGTTGAACTTGGCCGAGTGTTGACAGCTCTCATGTTCTTGATGAGTAACCTGAGCCATACCTGGAGGGGAGCTGCTAGACAGCTGAGAGTCTTCCTGCTGAACAGATTCATGGAACACACAGTCCTCATCTTCGTCATCTTACTGGTTCTCAAGAAATTTCTCAAGCTTTTGCACAAGACCGTCCAGTTTGCTAGAGTCAGTTGTGTCTTCTCTTTGGGATACTTGTCTATCCACTGGTTGTCTCCACTTAGGTCCCAATTAGCCATTGAGTCTGAATTCTTAGAGGCCATGTCAACATCCCAGGCCAGGGTGATTCTTAGTTTGCAAAACTGCTCTGGGTCGTCCTGTATTTGGTCTCATCTCCCCAGGAGTCTCCCTATGTTTTCAGTCCGCCATGTCCCTTGGATAGGAGGGACAAAGTGGATTGAAGGACCTTCAGAAGATGTGTCTTCACAGGAGATGATGTTCTCATAGGAAAAGTTGTCCTCACAGGGGAAATAGCCCACAGAGAGACTCAGGTTTGATTCGGAGCTGCTGGAGAATGAGTGCGCCGTGGAGTTCAAAGGCGCAAATCTCAGGTCTCCCTCATCCCAGGGATCTTCAAAAGAAAGAAAAAATAAGTGGGATTGGGGAAAAGAAGAAGGTAATAACGGTACTTACGCAATAACGTTATGCATTCCTTTTTCTATTTGGAGCTATCGCATTCTGATAGAAGTTCGTCCTGTTTTGCAATCTGCAGTGAAGAATGAAAGAGGCAGCCCTCTCCCTTTCAAAACCTGTTCTATACGACCCTCTGTACTAAGCATCTTCACCGGATGCCTCACATCATCTGTTACTACAGCTGAAAGAACTTGTATCATAAAAGAAAAATAGCATCATGGTATAAAATTTGAAAAATATAAAAAAGTATGAGGATCAAAATCAATATGCCTGTGATTCCCCCTGTCCAGAGATAATGATAATCATCATGAAAACATTTTGGTGGACTCCCTTATAATCTCTTCTTTTTCTTTATATGTACTTATACGTGTGTGTGTGTGTGTGTGTGTATATATATGTGCAGTCACATCACATATATATGTAGATATGAAAGTCACATTGGTTGAAACTGAGATTATTATATTTTATGGCACAACCTACAATAAACATATATATGGCTATTCTGTCACTTTTTACCACTTTCTTATTAATGACCATTAGTAGTTATTGTTCTTAATAGATACATCTTCGGTAAACTCCCTTGTTAATCTTTGTCTCTCTTTATATTCTTAAATGTGGGTTTAATGGATCAAAGATCACTAATGTATTAAAGGGTCCTTAATAGTTGTTACCAAGTTGCTTCCCAGAAAGATTATAGCCATTTAGATGCCCATCCTCCCACCATCTGATGGCACTTTTTAGTGCAGCTTTTTCTATGATGCCCCGGTGAGTAACTGGGGCAGAGGGTAAGAATACTCACACGCATGCACGCACATGTTGTAGTCTCTGTAATGCTCTGCTCTGGTGGCTGCCCTCGTGAAAGAGGTGCTGCCAACTCCTGAGCCATAAACCGGGGAAGTGAAAAATCCTTCAGATCCTGAGTCTCAGTGGCTAAAAGTCCAACTGCCGGGAGTCTGTGTTCTGGGGCTGTTGGTTACCATGGCAACACAAGGACCCAAGTTATAGTCAAAAATGTGGGAAGAGAGAAAAAAGGGATAGAAAGCTGCAGTAGCCAGTGCCTTGCTCCCAAAATATCCAGTATCCGTATCATCCCTGCTGGTGAGGATCCCTCTCGAGGGCAGAAGGACAAATGCTGTGGCGGTTACTTCCCTCTTGTCATGTGGGTGTCCAGGATAGTTCTGGTCTAGAGGGAATTTAGAGCCTATTTGGGGAAACGGACATAAACAGCCTCTTATAGGACTGAATGGTAAGTGCAGCAACAGAACTTAAAAATAATGTCATGGGAGAATGGAAGAAGGCGCCTTGTGCAGCCGGGCAGAGATGGGGGAGGGGGGGTCTGAAAAGTCTCCAAGAGAGGATTCCCTCCGATCTCAGTATTTAGGGGGGTGTGGAAGTTAGTGAGGTGGAGGGTGGGGGGGGGTTGGGGGAGAGGACCTTTCAGGCAGAGGGGACACGTGAGCAAGGATCCCCCAGGTGAGAAACAACCAGGAGTGTGGGGAGATCAAACATGAGGAGGTAAACGGGGTCAGTGAGATGGTGGAAGGTCTTCCACCCCTGTTAGGGAACTTGGTTTTTATCCTGCAAGCCTGTACTTGGATGGAAGTTTCATTTGTTAGGCATTCTTCCAGGTAATTCAAAGTATATTGGATACTCGACATGATTAAAACAAGCAAACCAAACAGAACTTCCAGTGCACTTGGCAGCGTGAATGTTATCAGTTGGCTTTCACGAGAACGGAGTCAGTAGGTTTGCACTGGGTTGAGGAATGGATGGGAGGAGACGAGGTGGGAACAGTGAACCTAGACCATGCTTCATCAGTGTCTGGATGACAAAGTGAGAGGGGGAGGCAGAGGCAAGGTTAGTTTCCGCACCCACCCCCCAAATACAAAAGCAGTGCATAGTCAGTACAGGGGGTGAGTTTCAAAACCTAAACGGTTGGCTGCTGCTTTTGGAGAGAGTAAGGGTGGGATCCGTGGCATGGACAGGGGGCTCGGTAGTAATAAAGGGAGTGTGTTATTTCCTGGTATTAGAAGGAAAAAAGTGAAGACGGTTGTGGACAAGTTTGGAGGAATGCATCATTGAGGACCTCTGTTTTCTACTTTGAGTGTCCCAGCTAGGCTTCTGCCTTATTCCTGATATTGTCTGCACGGTTTTAAACCTGTTACCTGGATCTCTGTCCTCGTTGTCCTTGTTTCCTTGTTCCCAATGTTATCTCCTTTGATGGCCTCTTCAGTAACATGAGCCGCCTTGGTTCTTCTACAATTAGAGCTTTGCTTTTCCTTGCCATCTTCCTCTAGGCGCCTCTGCTGCTCACCAAGTCCTCCCACCTCCCAGTCTACCCTTCCCTTCCCAATGGCATCGTGGAATTATGTGGGATCGGTCAGGTCTCAGTGGGTACTTTGTAGGTGGGGAAGTAAATCGTTCATTGTCTGTTTCCAAATGTGCAAATTCTGAGGACAAATGTGGGTCGTGTAGGATTGAAGGCTGTCAGTTGCAGAGACTAAACAAAAAATAACCTTTCCTAAGAGCAAAATCATCTTGGCAAATGTAGTTACAGCAACTGCCAGCCTGGTCTAAACTGTGGGGCTATGGGGTACTGTTTTTCCGTCAATTCAGTGATTCTCAGGAAGGGAGTAGGGCTTCCACTCGAGTTTCCAAGGAATGAAGTGTGTGTGTACTTGGAAAAAGCATGTTCTTTTTTTAAAAAAAATTTTTTTCATTGGAGTGTAGTTGATTTGCAATGTTGGAAAAGCATGTTCTTAAATTAACATTGCTTAGATATGCTTTTGGTCACTTTTTTTTAAATTTCAAGTTTCAAACAGTATTAAAAGAAACCATACGGTTTTTATATTTATCCAAAAAGAAGCATGGATTTCAACACAAACACGCACATCCAAAAAAGGAAAAAGCCAAGAAACACTGGTGCAACTTAAAAGAACCTCAACTCATTGGAATCTGTCAGTTGCGTAAAGATCTTTTTCAAATATTTTTCTGTCTTTGTTTCCATTTAACAAGATTACATTTAAAGTTTTCTACGACTCTCAGGTTTTTTGCTGTTGTACCAGTTAAATTTCTAGGTTCTGTTAAATAAGATTGTTTTAGGTGAGTCTGTTTCAGGAGTTATGATGTCCTGATATAAGAAATAGGCAGAGTTGGAGTTGGGGAGACACCATCTGTACCCAACAGAGGCCACCTGGCAAGTGGCCACAGGCTGCCACAAATCCCGCGAGTGATTGGGGTTCTAGATTAACCCCAGCGGGTGTAGGTCAGGAGCAACATGCTATGCTCCCTAGTATTTATTGGCCACTTACTACATGCCAGGTCCTATTTTAAGCACTTTACATGTGCTTATTGTTTAATCTTCACAGCACCCCAATCTGTTACGTATCGTTAGTTGCTCTGTTTTACAGACAAAGGAACCAAGGCATGAGCAGTTATATTCCCCGCCCACCTCCTCCCTGAAAGATTCTCGGGAGAGTTGACTTAGGCCCAAATCAAACTTGTATTCTGGCTCCTCTAAAGAAACTCCTTTGAGTGGAACAGTGTGTTCTAAGTAAGTGGTCGGTAGAACCGGCCCAAAACAATGGCGTCCACATCTGGGGCAGGCTAAAATGAGATTTAAAGTAAATATTCAGCTTCCTCTTTGGCATAAGGAGATCTGGATCCCTGTGCTCTGGCTTTTCATGAAAACTCTGTGACCTCCTCACAGAGCAGTGGGAACCTAGAACAGGATTCATGAGTAGCTTTCTTCGCATGCAGCTGTAGTGAAGGTCAGAGGGAAGCTGTATGCCATACCGTTACCCATGGAAATGGGACTAAACATAAATATTTAAGTAGGAAGGAACTATTTCTCAGCCTAAACTTCTAAAGTTTAGAGTGATCCTGAAGGTAAAAGAGCTTCACACAGGGGAAGCCTCAGAGAAAACTTCAAATTTTACTTGTTTGTACCATACTGCCGTTTCTCTGTATATTTGCTCTGTGTGTGTGTGTGTGCGTGTGTGTTTATGTGTGTATGTACATATGTATACATATATATTTCATTTTAAATACAACTCAAGTAGTGAAAGTCCCTGAAACTCACCTTTTCTCCTGCCCCAGAAAAGGAATAATCACTGTTAATTGTTTGATATATATTACATAATTTGTTCAGATATTTTTTTCCTAAAGCGACATTGAAATAGCAACGACACATGCCATCTTTAGGATCCCATGCTGAGGAGCGCATTCAATTCTAAAAGATAACTTAGCTTTTACATCTAATAACAGATCAGGGGATTTGAGGTCCTCCTTAACAATACCCCTTGTGTTAATTTCTTTCCTAGGGCCTTATTTTGACTTGGTGGGCTAGCTTTTCTTGGATCACAGGTATATTATCTAAATAGTATAGCTGGCTCATCATTACCTCTTCTCTTGAAGCAAAATCATCTATAATAAAGCTCTTGAGTTTTCAAAAATGATAGTATGTTGTGAATTTACAACGTTTTAGAACTGAAGCCAGTAGTAATGGAAGTTTTGAAAATTGGAACACTTCCTCAAATCCATTTGACTTGATGGGATTCGGAGCCTAAATAAATAGAGTGGGAAGTTTCTAACTTAGAAATTAAGCTACTGTTATGGTTAATTTTGCGTGTTAACTTGATTAGGCCACAGGGTACCCAGATATTTGGTTCAACATTATTCTGGTGTCTGTGAGGATGCTTCTAGATGAAATTAACACTTGAATTGGTGGACTGACTAAGGCAGATTGCCCTCCCTGGTGTGGGAGGGCCTCCTCCAATCCTTTGAAACCTGAATAGAACAAAAAGCTGAGTAAGGGAGAATTTGCTCTGTCTTCCCTGTCTTTGAGCTGGGACGTTGGTTTTCTCCTGCCTTTGGACTCAGACTGGAATTTACATCATCAGTTCTCAGGTTCTCAGGCCATTGGACTTGGACTGGAGCTACACTATTGGCTCTCCTGGGTCGCCAGCTTGCAGAGGGCAGATCTTGGGACTTTTCAGCCTCTGTAATTGCATGAGCCAATTCCTTACAATAAACCTCTTTTCTCATTCATTTTTGTATATGCGTGTGTGTGTGTGTGTGTGTGTGTGTGTGTGTGTGTGTGTGTGTGTATATGTATATATACATATATATATGTTTCTCTGTTTCTCTGGCAAACCCAGACTAATATAGCTACTTGTTTTTCATTTTTTTGAAATTATGAAATATTTTAACAATATAAAAAGATGTCATGAACCCTGTCATATGATACACTGAGGACACAATGTCATTTTTATGGTGGTCTTGCCCAAAATGTATAATCACAGCCTAATAATGAGACAATAACTGTCACAAACTGAAGAAGACTAAAGAGAAATAACAACTAAAATGCACGGTGGGATTCTAGATAGGATTATAAGAATAGGAAAAGGACATTAGTGGAAAACCTAGGGAGACTTCACTATGTTCTTTATTTTAGTTAATGGTATTGTACAAAGTTAATTTTCTGGTCTGATTATTGTAGTATGGTTGCATAAGGTATTAACATTAGGGGGAGTGGGGTGAAAATATATGGATAATGTGTGACTTCTCTGTAAGTCTAAAATTAGGTCAAAATAAAAAAATTTAAAAAGAATACATAAAATTATAGTAAATGATGTAACACACACCTATATACTTATAACTCAGTTTGGTCAAGTCTTAAATTTTGCCATATTTGATCCATTATTTTTTTGAAAAGAAGTAAAATATTTTAGATAAAACTTAAGTCCCTTTATATCCCTTCCCTGATCCCCTTTTTTCCCCGCTTCTCCCATGATTACGATCCTGAATTTGATGTTTATTTATCTTGTGCTGCTATAATATGATTTTACATATTAATATACTGTTTTACCTTTGGAGACAAAAACCAATATAAATATAAATTTACTTAATACCACTGAACTGCACACTTAAAAATTGTTAAGATGGTAAATTTTGTGTTATGTGAA